CCCGGCCGCCGCCCGACGAGCCCGCGCCGCTGCTCGGCGACCAGGACCCGGCCGGCGCCCTCCCCTCGGATCCCGCCCCTTCCTCGGTAAGTTCCTCTGTACAGGTTTTCTCCAAGACGCTTTCTCCTGAGGCTGCCCTGCCCTTTCCCCCCCGTGTTCTCTGGCTTGCCTAGGAGACTATTTCTGCAAGCATGGTAACGTTTCCTTTGGTGTAGTTCTGAAAGCTGGTGCCCATTGCTGTCAGTATGTGAACATGGAGTGAATCCTCAGCCTTCCAGTTCGCGAAGAAGGAAGGAGGGAGAAGGCTGCTGCTGGCACGCTGTTGGTTAGGTCGGCGGTTTGCGTATTGATCAGGTTCCAGGCATTGTTTCCCCTGTGTCAGCTGTGCTGTGTGTAATCTGTCTTGCTCTTCGTATTAGATCTTCTGAAGGGATGGATGACCTTATTAAGAAACACAGCTTTTTAGAAGACTCAACTGTTTCACCAAGAGCACATGTGCTTGAATAGGTAGCATGTGTCTTGAACATAATGCTTATGGCTTTGTGTGGAACTTCTCTGCACATTCTTCTCAGCATTTATCACTGTCCATGATACATACTAGAGGTCTGCAGGAAGCGTTTGTGTCAGTCCATTCTGTGGTCTTTGTCTGCAATAAAGAATTTGAACCAGGCAACAAGTAGTCCTTGATGATGTCTGACTCTCTGTTATGAGGATGAAGGATCTTCTCGAAGTTGTGATTCTTTGAAAAGGCTGTGGGTGGCTGCACGTGGAGGAGGAAATTGTGGAACCGCTTTGGTTTTTTCTTGTTTTTCAAGGTAGAGCTATGTCAGATGGAGCTGATTGAGCCTTGGGTAGGAAGTATTTAGCATAGCAAGATAATTGCCTGGATGGGAAGGAGAGATTCGAGGCGCAGTGGGATATACAAGGTGGGCATAATTCCCTGTGAGCAGATATTCACTGAGTCAGTGTCTCTTGGAAGACTGCTCAGCTTTTTCCTTTGCGACGCACAAAGTCTCTTCACAGAACTTCAGTGAGCAACAAATGTATCTTCCACCGAACAAAGATGTGCAGATAGCTGTGTGAAATTGGTGCTGGGAAGAAAAATGGACTGGGGAACTGGGCCTTCACTCTCACACGTTTTTATGATAAATGGGTGAAAGCACACCATGGATGATGTGAAGGTTTGGAAATCTGAGTGGTGTGAGCTGTGTGTCAATGTCTGCTGAAAGACTCAAGGGGATGTTTTCCTCCATCTCCTGTCCTGTTTCTATCTCTAGGATGAAGCAACGTGAGGTTCTTCTTCCCCAAGTAATTGTTTATAAGATCTGTATTCTAGCTGCATGGAGAACCTTGACAACCTCTTAATAAGTATTTGTTTGTCATCATAATGGTGTCGCTTTAAAGCTTAATTTTGCACTTATGACAGATGGGTTATAGGAATTGCAAGCTGTGTATTCAGTGCCTATAAACAATGTCAACAATATCTACACTGAGTTAAATAATTCATGAGAGTGTTGTGAGATCTCAGTTGTGTTCACTTGTGCAGGTGTTAACTTTCTGTCTCATTCTTCTGATCATCTGAAAATGGTTCTTTCCTGTTTATAGGTGAAAAGACAGAGACATTTCCATAGACAAGTTTCCTAAAATGTCTCTGTAATAAATGTTTTTTCTTGTCTGATGTCTTGTATGTGAAGTCAAATATTATCCATGGTAAGGAGATGCAGTTGAGTAACTTTCCTTTTGGTGGAGTCTCTCTACATTCTGATGATCCATGCTATCCATGGGAGGTGGGATAGAAGGGTTAGAAGAGAGTGTTGGATGTGTGGTTTGTGAGGAGGCCCTGGTGGAGACATGGCCTGTGTTTTGTTGATCCCCAGGGCTATTGCTGGCCTTCTGAAAATGAGTCAGGAGGAGTTGTATGATTTTCAATTGTGTGATTTGGACTGAACGGGCCTAGTTTGAGTCCCATATTCCTTTGCATCAAAAGTGACAGTCACACATACTTCGGGGAGTCCATGTGCTGAAGAATGGTGATGCTGCCATAGAGGTGATTCTTGGATGTGTGGGTCTTTGACAGAGCTGGTAATAATTTATGGCATATATGAGATTTCCCACTTGTTCAAATAATTGGGAGGAACAGAATAACCTTAATTGTGATGCTTGGCCTCTGAGAAACTGTCCACACAAGTTTTCTTCTAATCATGTCTGTACACAAAATTTACTGTAATGTTATGTTTGGCCAGAGAGAAGAAGTCTGTGAATGCAGAGACAGGGCTGGTGCTGGAGTTCACTGTGATTCAATTCAAAATGAATGAATGAATTATTTTCAGTTCTGTTTGTCTTGGTATTTGGATAATGCCCCCAGCTGTGGTTCCAAGCTTTTTCTTTTTCTTCCTATCCAAGGAAATGACAGCCTGTGCCCTGTGTAGTGAGCTCCTGTGTGAGGCCCCTGTGTATTGGCTCCAGTCCAGTTTCCTGAGTTGTGTATATACTGCAGGTGACCCAATCTGCAATGTGAGGCTACGATTGATACTCTTCTCGTGTTTTCCCATTCTTGGCTGAGATAATTTCAGTTCCTTTGGATAATTTGTTAGCGTGTGTTTGAGTTAGGTTGGGTAGGTTTGGGTTGGGGTAGGAAGGGTTATGTTTGTTTGTTTGTTTCCTTGGTTTTTTTTTTGTCAAAAAGTAAAGCTGAATGTGTCTGGAATCTTTCAAACTCCAAAATACGTAATTATCTAGTAGTGAGAGTACCTCTCATCCATCCCTTGTAGCTATACTTGTAGTCATAGAATCCCAGAAACACTGAATCAGAGAATGGATTGCAAAGGACCTTAAAGGATCCTCTTGTTCCCGCTGCTGTGCCATTGGCAGGGACATCTTCCACCGGAGCAGGTGGCTCAGAGCCCCAGCCAGCCTGACCTTGAATATTTCATTCAACAAATGCAGCTTCATGAATGGATGTTTCCCCAAGTTGTTGTTTTCTCTGTGGCCAACATGGAACCAAAATTGTGGTTTGTGTTGATGGTGAAACTGAAGGCTGTGAATGCAGAGTGAGGAGGGTGAGAGCTCAGTTCTGTGCCAGGCAAATGGGGGACTCAGTGTGGGTTTGGCAGAGAAATGGTTTGATTTGATGTTTAGTGCCAAAGGCAGTGCCATTGCTGTTTTGATTCTGGTGTCAGGATCAGACGATGACAGTCCCCCCAACAGTAACGTTTTCCACAGTAACTGTTCATGTTGAACCATAATTGTTGGCTGGATGAGGTAATTAATCCTGTGTGAAACCTCCATTATCCATCTGTATCTCTGTTAAATATGGGTTTATTGAGTTTCTCCGTAATTTTAATTACACTTTCATTCAGGTCTTTGTTTTCAGGAAAGTTGCAGCTCATTTTCACGTTTCTGATCAGTACTTTTAAATATGAAACAGTGACTGATGTTTTTCATCACATCCTTACTTCAGTCACTTAAGACTGAATGGTGTGGGGACTACGAGGCAGAAGAGATAAGGGAATCTGTTGTAATATGTCAGAAGATTTACCTTAAGAAAGAGGCTGATGAGAAGCTGTTTAAAGTGATGGTTTCATAACCGTGCAAGGTGAGCAGGCCATGCAGTAGAAAGAGTTGCTGAGGAGAGGACTCATTCTTCAAATGAACCTGCTCGATTATTGTCCTATCTAAGTCCTCAGGGCCATACACCTGCAACTTCTGAGTGACTCCTACGTGCTCTCAGGTATGAATATTAAGGCCTGCAGTAAAGGTCTGGAAGACTTCACACTGGGCATGTCTGACTGCGTGTTTTCTCAAAATGCTTCCTTGCTTTATCTGATTCGTGGTTTTCTGTTTTGTGCGGACTTTTTGCTTTGTTTTGTTTTCCCTTGATTTACTCAGTATTTGGGTATACTTACAATTAACAACAATCCATCTTTGTTTAGTAACATATGATGTGCTAATGTCCCTTGCTCTTGTTGCAGTGGGACTAGAAGGCAGGAGATATGAGAGTGACTTTGTTTTCTGATCCTGTTGGAGAAGTAGTTGAAAAGATGACTTCAGTAGAGTTTTCTTCACTATGAAACTGAGCATGTGATAAAGATGGGGAGAAGATTCCCCCTAAGCCAATGTGAGCCATTCTCAGTTGGCTGAATGCTGATGTTTTAGTAAGATTGTTTGTCATTTCTGTGCTCTAGAATCCTTCAGTTCCTTATAATAATGGTGGTGAGCAGACCATTGCATCTCCCTTCTGGGTGTGGCTGCAGTGCATTATCATCTCATGATGGATTTGAGCAGTGAGGGGATGGCTATGAGCAAAACCTTACAGTGGCCTGGCATGGAAAAAAAAGCAGAGAGGGGAGCTCTGTGTGTGAGGCTGGAGAAGAACTGGGTGATTGCCTTGTCAGAAAGAAAAGAGTAAATGTCATTCTGCTGTCTCGGCATAGGGGATGCTTATATTGCGTTAGGCGGATCTGTATCTCCAACTAACATTTCCCAGATAATGAGAGGACAGTAGAGGATAATGTGGAAAAGCTGTTGAAATCTTCCCTATCTTATCGATTATTGCTGGTGTTAATGGCCTATAATTTTATTAAGAGAGTCTGAATTCCATTCTATACTTCCCTGCAATGAATATTTCCTTGTGACTGTGGAATGTGACCTAAAAGAATGTCCTAAAAGCACCGGCCAACATATCTCACATAGAAAGGCTTTGGAGTGGAATTAAGCAGTAGCTCCCGCTCTCGGTGTTTTTGGTCGGGGAGGGCCCCCGGGGCCGGTGCAGGCGCTGAGCCCCGCCCAAAGCCGGGCGGCCTTGAGCGCGGCCGTGCGGCGGCTGCAGTGTCGCGGCGGCGCCTCCGGGTGTCGCTGTTGGCCGCCGCCGAGCGCCGCTGGAGCCGCCGCCGCCGCAGCGTCCTGCCCCCGCAGGCTGCTCGCTCGCCCGGCGCCGGCCGCAGCGGCACCGACAGTAGCGGCGGCGAGAGGCGGCCCGAGCGGTGTGGGTGGCTTTGAGCGGTGTCTGTTTTGGGCGGCGAGAGCGGCTGGAAGGGAGGCAGGGCAGCGGCAGGAGGCAGGAGCGCGGCGAGCGCAGCGGGCAGAGAATGGCGGTGAGGCGGCGGCAGAGGCTTGGGCCGGGCGGCGGGCGAGCGCTGCTGGGCGCGCTGCTGCTGCTGCTGTGCGTGTGGTGCCGGGCGGCGGCCGAGCGGGTCCGCTACGCCATCGCCGAGGAGCTGGGCAGAGGCTCGCTCGTGGGGCCGCTGGCGCGGGACCTGGGGCTCAGCGCGGACGAGCTGCCGGCGCGCAAGTTGCAGGTGGCGTCTGGCGGCAAGAAGCATCTGAAATACTTCAGGGTGAATGAGGAGAACGGGAACCTGTACGTGAACGAGAGGCTGGACCGGGAGGAGATGTGCGGCGAGTCGGCGACCTGCTCTGTCAGCTTCGAGGTGCTGGTGCACAACCCGCTGAACGTTTTCCACGTCGAGGTGGCGATCGAGGATCTGAATGACCACTCCCCAGTCTTCAGCAAGTCTGTTCTGGACCTCGAGATCGGTGAATGGACGCTTCCCGGTTCTCGTTTTCCTCTGGAAAATGCCCGAGACGCTGATATGGGAACCAACTCGTTGCTGACTTACCAGCTCACCAGCAACCCTTCTTTCTCACTATCCATGAAGGAAAAGCCGGGTGGAAAAAAGCAGCCGGAATTAGTCCTGGAGAGAGTTTTGGACCGAGAGAAGCAGAATTCCTTTGAGCTGGTGCTGATGGCGTTGGACGGTGGGGACCCTGCCAGGTCCGGGACTGTCCAGGTTCGCATCAACGTGACAGACGCCAACGACAACCCACCCGTGTTCAGCAAAACTCTCTACGAGGCGAGAGTATCCGAGAATCTGCCAGCGGGGTCTCAAGTGCTGCGGGTGGTGGCCACAGATGCAGATGCAGGCTCCAATGGGCGGGTGTCCTACTCCTTTGGCAACGTCCCGGACACCGTCAGAGCGTTGTTCGCTATAGACAGCGAAAGCGGCGAGATAATGACGTCCGGACCCCTCGATTTCGAGGAGAAGAGTAAATACATATTCGGACTGGAGGCGACGGACGGAGGCGGGCTCACCGATCACTGTGAAGTACAGATCGATATCACGGACGAGAACGACAACGCGCCAGAGATCACCATTCTGTCGCTGTCGAGCCCAGTGCCTGAAGACTCCCTAGTCGGCACCGTGGTGGCCGTGCTGAATGTAAACGACCCGGACTCCGGCGAGAACGGTCAGGTGTCGTGCGAGCTGTCGGGAGAGGCGCCGCTGTCGATCGTGGCGTCGTCGGGCGGCTCGTACAAGGTGGTGACATCGGGCGCGCTGGACCGCGAGCAGGCGTCGGAGCACCGCGTGACGGTGGTGGCCCGGGACCGGGGCAGGCCGGCGCTGCGGAGCAGCCGGGAGCTGGTGCTGGAGGTGTCGGACGTGAACGACAACGCGCCGGTGTTCGAGGAGGCGGCGTACAGCGCGTACGTGGCGGAGAACAACGCGGCGGGCGCGCTGGTGCTGCGCGTGCAGGCGCGGGACGCGGACGCGGGCGCCAACGGGCGCGTGAGCTACTGGCTGGCGGGCGGCAGCGCGGGCGCGGCGGGCGCGGCGCCGCTGGTGTCGGTGGAGGCGCGGAGCGGCGCGCTGTACGCGCAGCGCTCCTTGGACTACGAGCAGTGCCGCGAGTTCACGGTGGCCGTGCGGGCGCAGGACGGCGGCTCGCCGGCGCGCAGCTCCACGGCCACGGTGCGCGTCTTCGTGCTGGACCGCAACGACAACGCGCCCAGGGTGCTCTGGCCCGCGGCGGCGGGAGAGGCTGCGGGAGGGGCGGCGGCGGCGCCTTTCGAGGTGGTTCCGCGCTCGGCCGAGGCCGGCTACCTGGTGGCCAAGGTGGTGGCGGTGGACGCGGACGCGGGGCGCAACGCGTGGCTGTCGTACGCGCTGGTGCAGGCGTCGGAGCCGGCGCTGTTCCGCGTGGGGCTGCACAGCGGCGAGGTGCGCACGGCGCGCGCCGTGGGCGAGCGGGACGCGGCCAAGCAGCGGCTGGTGGCCGTGGTGAAGGACCACGGGCAGCCGGCGCTGTCGGCCACGGCCACGCTGCACGTGGTGCTGGCCGAGAGCTTGCAGGAGGCGCTGCCGGAGCTGAGCGAGCGGCCGGCGGGCGCCGAGGCGGCGGCGGCGGCGGCCGAGCTGCAGTTCTACCTGGTGCTGGCGCTGGCGCTGCTCTCGGCGCTCTTGGTGCTGAGCGTGGCGCTGGCCGTGGTGGCGCGGCTGCGCCGGGCCGGGCCGCCCGCCGTGCTGCGCTGCCTGGGCGCGCAGCGCTTCTCGCTGGCCGGCGCCGCCTTCCCGGCCGACTTCTGCGAGGGCACCTTGCCCTACTCCTACAACCTGTGCGTGCCGCCGCCCGCCCGCGCCGTGCCCGAGGCCGCTTGGCCGCCGCCGCCGCCGGTGCCCATCCTGTCGGCGGAGAAACTTCTGGGCGGCGATTCTGTCGGGAAGCCGAGCCCGGGCAGTACCGCCGTGACGGGAGAGCCGCCGGCTGAGTCCGCCGTACCGGAGGTTTGTAATTCCTTATACCCATTCTCTCTCAAACTTTACCTCCTAAGAGCGGGGGGCAGTCTATCCTTGGTCTTCGTTTCTCTTCTGGGATTGTTCATACTAGACTTTGTTTCAGTTGATTCTTTTAAGTATCCCATCCCGTATTTCTCAGCAGACAGCTTTACGAACGGGTTCTTTTTATCTTTTCAGCTGATGATGAGACTTAGGTTCAATATATCGGCTCTTAACTTTCAGGTATACTGAGTAAAATCTTTCAGAATTGGTGAAGCTCTTATTTATCTTTTCCATTCCTTCATTTTTTGCTTAGAACTCTCAGGCAGTAACCCAGCTTTTCTTTCATGCGCTTGTGACTATTCGTAGTCGAAACGTGTTGTTTGAAACGCCGGAAGTTACTAATGATGACGGCAGATTTTTAGCGTGTAGAAGGAGATTTCTTTTGTGACGCCCGATATTTGAGATTTATTTTTCCGGGCTCTGTTTCTTTGTGTCGTCCTGAATAAGAACTGTAGGAAAAGCCTCTTTATATAGTACTCTTTCGGTGTTTGGCTTTGAAATGGAACGTGCATATGCATCAGAGAGCGTGATAGTGACGGGTCATTCCTTCCTAATGAATGCTCCTGCCCTTTTCCGTCCCCCTCCTCGCCCATACAGTTTTTGTGGGAAGGCAGCTGTATAAACGCAAGATTCCGTGTCAATTCCTACCTTATCAGTGTTCACACGTGTCACTACATTTCTGTCGTTAAACTTGTGTCTTCCAAAATGTTTTGGGTTCACCGTAGCTCTTCATTTGGTTTAACAGAGGTTCGGGTTCAATGGGAAAATTTTTTCTAAAAAGCTAGGTTTGTCTGAAATGTAACGAGTTAGCAAAGCTCGGGCGGGGGGGGAAGGGGGTGGGGGAGGGGGGGGAATTTTACACTATACGATAAGATCTGCTAATTTTCCATGATGGTTTTAGGAAAACGGAGTGGATATTTCCTCCTTCGTAATCTTTATTTCCCGAAGCAAAATACTGAGACTTTGATGGCTGCTGGGTAATATCCCGTTAGTTAATGGTGTTTTCTGCAGTACTCCAAAGAGAGCATAAGTCTTGCTCTCTAAAGGAAGTTCAGCGCTTTCCCCTCCCATTTTTTGCTGGAAGGCAGGTGCAGAAATGACAGCTTTACAGAGCTGGCAGGAAAGTTTCGGTGGCGAATGTCCCCTCACCGCGAGCTGTCCGTGGGCGAGGCTGGGCGGGCAGCGCTGGGCAGCGCTCGGTGCCTGCAGTGCCGGGAGGAGGCTGCGGGCGCCGCTGTTGACCGAGAGGAGCGAGAGGAAGCTCGGAGCGCTGCCGGCAGCCCCGCCCGCTGCGGATCGGCTCACTCGGTCGCTCGCTTGGTATCAGGCTCGGCGCCGGGCGGTCTGCGAGCGTCCCTGCGGTGCGGAGCCGTTCTGCAAGGAGGCAGAAAAGCCGGCGAGAGCACCAGGGAGCGGCGAGTCGGAGAATGAGGGGAAGGCGGTGCTGCGGTGCCGCTGTGGAGATGTGCGCGGCGGGGAGGCGCTGGGGCCGGCGGCAGCGAGCTCTGCTCTGGGCCGTGCTGCTGGCGGCGTGGGAGGCGGCGTGGGGGCAGCTGCGCTACTCGGTGCCCGAGGAGATGCCCAAGGGCTCGTTCGTGGGCGACGTGGCCAAGGACCTGGGGCTGCAGCTGCCGGAGATCCGAGACCGGGGCGTCCGCGTTGTCTGCGAAGGTAGTGAACAGTATTTCGCTCTGCACGGGAAGACGGGACATTTAGTGACGGCGGAGAGGATCGACAGAGAGCAGCTGTGCGAGAGTGTGCAGCAATGCGTGCTGCGCTGTGAGTTGATAGTGGAGGAGGCAATGAAGTTTTATGAAATAGAAGTTCAAATCACGGACATTAACGACAACTCCCCCACCTTTAAAGAAATTGAGCTGAAACAGAAAATGAGCGAGAATACAGCTCCAGGGTCTCGGTTTCCCTTACCCGAGGCTCACGACCCGGATTCTGGCTGGAATTCCCTGCAGAGTTACGAGTTGAGCGGTGACGAGCACTTCTCGCTGGCCGTGCAGGCGGGCCCCGGCGGCGATCAGCGTCCCGAGCTGGTGCTGGCGAAGGCGCTGGACCGGGAGGAGGCGGCGTTTCACGAGCTGGTGCTGAGGGCGATGGACGGCGGCGATCCGGCACAGACGGGCACGGCTCGGATCCGCGTGACGGTGCTGGACGCGAATGACAACGCGCCCGTGTTCAGCCAGGCGGAGTACACGGTGCGTGTGCCCGAGGACGTGCCCGTGGGCTCTGTCCTCGTCACCGTCACGGCCACTGACAGGGACGAGGGGCTAAACGGGCACGTGAAATACTCGTTTAAGAAAATCACCGAAAAAGCCTCGAAGATATTCTATTTGGACTCTGAGACTGGAGATATCACGCTACTGCGGAGCCTGGACTTCGAGGAGGGCAATTCCTATGAACTGGAGGTTCAGGCAGAGGATGGCTTCGGACTTTTCGACACTGCCAAAGTCACGATCGCCGTCACGGATATAAACGACAATGTGCCGGTGATTTCCGTGCGGTCAGCGCTAAATGAGATTTCTGAGGACGCCCCTTCGGGGACGGTGGTCGCCTTGCTGCACGTACATGATAAAGACTCGGGGGGAAATGGCGAGGTGCGCTGCTCGCTGGACGGGGATGTGCCATTCCGGTTGCAGAGCTCCCACGGCAGCTACTACAGCGTGGTGACCGCGAGAGAGCTGGACCGGGAGCTGGTGTCGGAGTACAACGTGACGGTGCGGGCGGCCGACGGCGGGTCGCCGTCGCTGCAGAGCAGCGCGGTGGTGGCGCTGCGGGTGCTGGACGTGAACGACAACGCGCCGGTGTTCGCGGAGGAGCGCTACAGCGCGCGGCTGGCGGAGAACAACGCGGCGGGCGCGCTGGTGCTGACGGTGCGCGCCACGGACGCGGACTGGGGGCAGAACGCGCGCGTGCGCTACCGGCTGGCGGAGGGGCGGGTGCGGGGCGCGCCGCTGTCGTCGTACGTGTCGGTGCAGGCGGAGACGGGCGCGCTGTACGCGCTGCGCTCCTTGGACTACGAGCAGGTGCGCGAGCTGCAGCTGTGCGTGCGGGCGGAGGACGGCGGCGCGCCGGCGCTGAGCAGCAACGTGTCGGTGCGGCTGCAGATCGTGGACGAGAACGACAACGCGCCGCAGGTGCTGTACCCGCCGGCGGCCGCGGCGGCGGCGTGGTCGGGCGTGGAGCTGGCGCCGCGTTGGTCGGAGGCCGGCGCGCTGGTGGCCAAGGTGGTGGCGGTGGACGCGGACGCGGGGCAGAACGCGTGGCTGTCGTACGAGCTGGCCAAGGCCACGGAGCCGGGGCTGTTCCGCGTGGGGCCGCACAGCGGCGAGGTGCGCACGGCGCGCTCGCCGCTGGCCCGCGACGCGGCGCGCCACAGCCTGGTGGTGCTGGTGCGGGACCACGGGCGGCCGGCGCTGTCGGCCACGGCCACGCTGAGCGTGGTGCTGGCCGAGAGCGTGGCCGAGCTGCTGGCCGAGCTGGGCGGCGCGGCGCACGAGGCGGCGGCGCCGGGCGAGCCGGCCGCCAGCCTGACGCGCTGGCTCGTGCTGGCCGTGGCCGCCGTCTCGTGCCTCTTCGTGGCCTTCCTGCTGCTGCTGCTGGCGCTGCGCCTGCGCCGCTGCCACCGCCGGCAGCTGCTGCCGCCGGACGGCGGCGCCTCGCGCGGCGTGCCCGTCTCGCACTTCGTGGGCATCGACGGCGTGCGCGCCTTCCTGCGGTCCTACTCGCACGACGTGTCGCTCACGGCCGACTCGCGCAAGAGCCACCTGCGCTTCTCGGCCGCCAGCTGCTGCGACACCCTCCCGGCCCGGCCGCCGCCCGACGAGCCCGCGCCGCTGCTCGGGGACGGGGACCCGGCCGGCGCCCTCCCCTCGGACCCCGCCCCTCCCTCGGTGAGTTCCTCTATCTAGAGTGTCTCCGCTATTCTTTCTTGTGATGCTGTCCTGCCCTTTCCCCGCCCTGTTCTCTGGCTTGCCTAGGAGACTATTTCTGCGAGCATGGTAACGTTTCCTTTGGTGTAGTTCTGAAAGCTGGTGCCCATTGCTGTCAGTATGTGAATATGGAGTGAATCCTCAGCCTTCCAGTTCGTGAAGAAGGAAGGAGGGAGAAGGCTGCAGCTGGCACGCTCTTGATTAGGTCGGTGGTTTGGGTATTGATCAGGTTCCAGGCATTGTTTCCCCCGTGTCACCTGTGCTGTGTGGAATCTGTCTTGTTCTTCGTATTATATTTTCTGAAGGGATGGATCACGTTATTAAGAAATAGAGCTTTTTAGAAGACTCATGTGTTTTACCAAGTGCACATGTGCTTGAATAGGTGGAATCTTTCTTGAACAAAATGCTTATGGCTTTGTGTGGAACTTCTCTGCACATTCTTCTCAGCATTTATTGCTGTCCATGATACATACTAGAGGTCTTCAGGAAGCATTTGTGTCATCCATTCTTTGGTCTTTGTCTGCAACAAAGATCTTGGACCAGGCAACAAGTAGTCCTTGATAATGTCTGTCTGTCTGTTATGAGGATGAAGGATCTTCTCGAAGTTGTGATTCTTTGAAAAGGCTGTGGGTGGCTGCATGTGGAGGAGGAAATGGTAGAACCGCTTTGGTTTTTTCTTGTTTTTCAAGGTAGAGCTATGTCAGATGGAGATGATTGAGCCTTTGGTGGAAAGTATTTAGCATAGCAAGATAATTGCCTGGATGGGAAGGAGAGATTCGAGGCGCAGTGGGAGATGCAAGGTGGGCATAATTCCCTGTGAGCAGATATTCACTGAGTCAGTGTCTCTTGGAAGACTGCTCAGCTTTTTCCTTTGAGACCTACAAAGTCTCTTCAGAGAACTTCAGTGAGCAGCAAATGCAGCTTCCATAGCACAAATATGTGCAGATAGCTGTGTGAAATTGGTGCTGACAAGAAAAATGGACTGGGGAACTGGGTCTTCACTCTCACACGTTTTTATGATAAATGGGTGAAAGCACACCATGGATGATGTGAAGGTTTGGAAATGTGAGTGCTGTGAGCTGTGTGTCAATGTCTGCTAAACGACACAAGGGAATGTTTTCCTCCATCTCCTGTCCTGTTTCTATCTCTAGTATGAGGGAATGTGAGGTTCTTCTTCCCCAAGTAATTGTATAGAAGATCTGTATTTCAGCTCCATGGAGAACCTTGACAAGCTCTTAATAAGTATTAGTTTGTCATCATAATGGTGTCACTGCAAAGCTTAATTTTGTACTTATGACAGATGGGGTATGGGAATTGCAAGCTGTGTATTCAGTGCCTATAAACAATGTCATCAATCATCTACTCTGAGTTACATAGCTCAGAAGACAGTTGTGAGCTGTTCAATTCTGAAGGTGTTAACTCTGTGTCTCATTCTTCTGATCATCTCAAGATGGTACTTTCATGTTTATAGGTGAAAAGACAGTGACCTTTTCATAGACAAGTTTTTAAATTATCTCAGTAATAAATGCGTTTTTCTTGTCCCATGTCTCAGATGTGAAATCCAATACTAGCCATGGTAAGGAGATGCGGTTGAGTAACTTTACTTTTGGGGGACTCTCTCTAAATTCTGATGATCTGTGCTATCCACAGGAGGCGGGAAGGGTTAGAAGGGAGTGTTGGGTGTGTGGCGTGTGAAGATATCCTGGTGGAGACATGGCATGTGTGTTGATCCCCAGGGCTATTGCTGGCCTTCTGAAAAAGAGTCAGGAGAAATCTTATGATTTCCAATTGTGTGGTTTGGACTGAAATGGCCTAGTTTGGGTTCCATATTCCTTTGCATCAAGAGTGGTAGTCCCACATGCTTTGAGCACACATGTGCAAAGAATGGTGATGTTGCCTTTGAGGTGATACTTGGATGTGTGGGTCTTTGACAGAGCAGGTAATATTTTAAGGCCTATATAACATTTCTCACTTATTTAGGTAGTATGGAGGAGCAGAATAACCTTAGTTATGGTGCTTGGGCTCTGAGAAACTGTGCATACAACTTTCTTTAATGATGTCTGTATGCAAAATTTGATGTCGTGTTATGTTTGGCCAGAGAGAGGCAGTCTGTGTACGCAGAGACAGGGCTGGTGCTGGAGTTCACTGTGATTCAGTTCAAAATGAATGAATGAATTGTGTCCAGTTCTGTTCGTCCTGGTATTTCGATGAGGCCCAGAGCTGTGGTTCCAAGCTTTTTGTTCCTCTTCCTATCCAAGGAAATGACAGTCTGGGGCCTGTGGAGTGAGCTCCTGTATAAGGACCCTGTGTAGTGGTTACTGTCCAGTTTCCTTGGTTGTGTATGCACTGCAGTTGACCCAATCTGCAATATGAGGCCATGATTGATACTCTTCTGGTGTTTTGCCATTCTTGGCTGGGTGCATTTCAGTTCCTTTGGATAATTTGTTTGGTTTGCGTTGGTTTAGGTTGTATTGGGTTGGCTTGATTGTT